GACTCTGGGAGGCTGCCTCCTACGCGGCTTTTTCTCCCTCACCCGCCAACACACACCCTCTGCCATCCACACCACGCTTCAGATGACTTTGCATTCTCTGATTACAGTATAACAATAATAACTATTACTGGTTTTGTGAGCCTACTAAATGACAGGCACTGTGATAGTTTATTAAAGCCACATCCTTTATTAATCCACGAGCCATTGTCCTCCTTGAAAAGATCTCTCATAATATTGTGATGTAACAAGAAATAGACATTTGGTCTTCATCCCCAGTTCCTGGCACAAAGCTCTTGAAAACGTTGACATTTCTGAGGGACAGGAGGAAGAGGAGTGTCTTTTGTTATTTGTACTGAGCCCCTCCAGCCATAGGGACCGGCTGCTTTCACTCAGCCAGTCCCTTGCCTGGGCCACAGTGCCCGATGGAGAACCAAAGTCAAGGCCAGCACCGAGGGGGCTGCTCCTCACTCCTGCCGCTACACAGGCAAAGAACATGCAACTCCTACCTGCCTTTGTTGTTTTGTTTTTTCCAATTAAAGGAACTCAGAGTCACTTTTGCTAAAACATATGAACGACAACAAATGAACAGCAGAAAGAACACACCCCACCCAGTACCTCATCCTCCGGTTCTGGGAGCCTGACCTTAGCCTTTCCTTGGATTGGTTTCCCACTTAAGATGAAAGAAAGGAATAAAGAAGCATGTCGGAACCCCCGTCTCTCTCTGTGTCTTTCCCATGCTCTCGAGGTGCCACCTACCGGGCCACTGGCCTGCTGGGGGCTGCTGGAAGGGGAGCTGGGTGGGAGCGAGCACCAGGATGTGGGGCAGCTGCGAGGAGCCGGAGCCAGCTCCGTGGGTGCTGCTGGCTGAGGTGACACAGACCCCTGGTAGCCACTGGTCAGGGCTTGAGTGGCAGCTCCGGATGTCTTAGAAGTTCAGGGATGCCTCAGGCCGGAAAATTTTTCATCAGCATTTAGGTGGGGCAGGAAGGAAGGGTTGGGAAGGCTCCTCTGAAGTCATGGCGGGGGCTGCAGCGAGGGGATGGAGATGGTTACTCAGTTCCTGCTATAGCCTGTGGACTACAGCCCAGGACCAGCCGCTCAGGGCCCTCGGGAACATCTTGAGATACAGCAGGGGTTTGCCCTGTTGTTCTCTCTGCCTGGAAAGTCCAGCTCCACTTTGTCTACCCAGAAGAATCCCAGCATTCTGTAAGATTTAATCGGAGTGTATCCTCCCTCGGGAAGCCCCCTCGACTACACACTGGGTGCATTCCTCCATAAGAGTGGACTTGACCTCGTACTGTGATTCTCCCTTTAATGATATCAAACTTTTCACAGAGATCCAGGGCCCAGTGGCCCAGACACCTCACAAATGGAGAGGAACCCTCAGTGAACGTCTGTCGATCCGAGTAATGGAAGAATAATACTACGGCATGTCTTTGATGTGTGCTCCGAGCAGGAGAAACACCACTCACGGGTCCAGTTTAACTCCACTTAGGCACTGAATGTGTCCCTCCCACAGATTCCAGTGGGAGCCATTCTTTTCAGCCTTTAAGTGCTGTGATCCCTGACTTCCCCAGAGGCCGAGTGGTGAAGCAGGGAGGACGCAACTCCTGCAGTTTGGATTCCTTGGGTTCCAGTTTTCTCCACCCCCTACCAGCTTTGTGGTTCTGGCAGGTTAGGAGACAGCAAAAGCACCCACCACGAGGACTGGCGGTGAGGACTGAGAAGTCGCCACCCGCACGCACACTTGGGAACAGTCTGGCATATCACAAGCATTCAGAAAGCTCGGCCACTATGATCATTATTGTCATCATCGTGATTATTATTTGCTCTGTCTGTCCCAGGCCACGGGAACACAACTCCAAACTATCTCAGGGGTGATCCCAAATGTGTCTGGGGACGAGGAGTGTGCTGGGGACTGGCCATCACCAGTGTTTCAGCAGGCTCAGGCCAGGCCCAGTGTGTGTGTGTGTGTGTGTGTGTGGCGGGGGGGGGGGTCCTAGGCCAGCATTAAAGGAAAAGCCTCTATGGGGGGTGGGGGTGGTGCTGGCTCCCAGTGACTGATTCCAGGTACTCAGGAGTATCCCCAAAACTCTGAACCCTGCTTTGGGGCTTCAAATGAGGGCCTGCTTGCATCTCGGGCCTGCCTTTCCGTTTTTGGCCTTCTGGCCTTTGGCGCTGTCCTTGGGGACAGGCTATTTTAGGTAGCAGTCAAAATAAAACTGAGATTAACCCAGAATTCTTGGCAGTCAAACAATACCATAATTATGTGCTTTTTCACTTCAGAAATCAGGCAGCCGAAGCTGACCCGCTGGGGTCTGCGGGGTGCCGTGAGGATAATGAGGCCTCGTCTCACCCTGTCACCTCCCGCACACCCTTCACGGCAGGCGGCTGCCCGGACCGGGAGGCTTCTCAGGGACACGATTTCTTCTCTGGGAAGAGGAGTCATCTTGTCTGAACAACAATGCAACTTGCTTTTACACTAAACGCTGGCAGGTTGGAGGAGTGACATTACTTGGTGTATCATAAATTCTTCTCGCAGAAGCCCTGGTCCCTGGGGCTGGTGGCCGGGAGGGAACAGAGGCAGCTTCTGTTCCAGGGCTGGGTTTTCAGGGCAGGAAATCACCCAGAGGAATGTGTTTGCGCTTTGATCACGACCAGGGGCGCAGACCCCTGAGTCGGGCAAACAGGCCCCTTCCTCTTTACTGGGAACTGAGAGGGAGGGGAGGGAATTAGTCACACACAAGAGCCACAGGATTAGGTCCCTGAGAGTAAAACCCCTCACTCCAACCCAGAAAGTGGAAAAAGAATGGGGGATTCAAGCAGATGGGGGAGGGAGTGTTGAGATGATGTCAGTAAAGGTCACCGCCTGAAGAACAAAGAGGCAGCGGAGACTGCGATTCGAGGCTTGAGCCATTCGAGGCTTGAGCGGATCCCCCAGCTCCCAGGCAAGACCTCCGACGCCGGACCGTTGGGAAGAGAGAAAGGAGCCTGCAGACCCCAACGCCCGAGGCAGCTTCAAGGTGTAGCTGAAAAAGCCACGCATTTCCCCCCGAACACTGACTTGGCCCTGGGAACAAGGGGCTTCTGGAAATATGATGCTCCTAGCAGATGCGCGATATGAGCCAGGAAAGTTGACCTCTCGGGGAGACTGGAAGGAAATAGAAAAACACACCCCAGTGGCCTCTGGCTGACATGGAGGCAGACGGACAGCTTGGGTGGTGACAGGCCTGCTCCGTCCCCTCAGGGAAAGGCTACTGCGGGGCGGGCACCCTGCACAGCGAGGGAGGAACGCGTGGGAAGGGCCCTCTCCTGTCCTCCCTGCAGGAGTGCGAACGGCCTCCGCTGACCCTGGCCGAGGGCTTGTCCCTCTCGTGCACCAGGAGCTGTCCACTTACCCCTCCCCGGGGTCCTGAGACCCAGTCTTCCCCGCGGCTCTCACGGGAGGTGTGGGGAGAGGTGGGGCACGTATGTTCAAGGATGGACACTGACTTCCTGCTTGGTTTTAGTTTGTTTGATTTTTATTTTTGTCTCCAAAGCCTGAAACATCTTTCTCTGCCACACAAACCACAAGAACAACAAGCCTTGGCAGGGTGACCCTGGGGACTGGGCATGCCCAGAGAAAGGAACCTTGACTCAAGACAGGACCTTGAGTCGGGTGGAGGGGCAGGCGAAGGAAAAAGAGGCTGGGTGGTAACTGGCAAAGGCGCCCGGAGTTTTAAACAGGTGGGCCTGGAATGCAAGCCCCCACCCCCAACCCCAGCTGCTCTTTCTGGTAAAGGCTGATGGGCTTTCACACTAGAAAGGCTGCCCTGCTCCAGTTTTCCATCCTGTGTGGTCTCTAATTGGAAAGGGAAGTCGCATTCCAGTGTGAAAAAGCAGCCACTCAGCCACCTCCCTCTGGGGACTTCATGACTGCGCCTTTGTCCCTGCAGACCTGAAACAAACGGACTGACCTCTGTCCAGGGCAGAAGGGGCTTTGGACTAACAGGTTCAGGTGGCCATAAAGTGATTAACAAGAGCCAGGAACTGATCCCATTGAGCCAAAGGGAAAACAAGGAGGCCCAGAGGGAAGCAGAGGACTGAGTGAGGTGGGTTGCTGGGGGCATTTATAAAGAAAGGGTGGCCCTCATACCGGTCCCACAGTAAGCAGATGTCCTGAGGGTGGCATGCACTACTGGCCAACAGTGTCTAGCAGCTGCTCCCACCTGAGCAGCACTATCCTCTGACCAACCTGCACACAGGCCCTCTGGTTTGTTGGGTTGTCTAGAATCTCCCAGGAGGCAGATCTGTATCCAACTGATACACACAAGCAGAGCCTGCAGAGCTTCGGAAAGCTGCCGCCTTAACAGCTTTCTTGTGCAAGGGGTGTGTCGAGCTATCAGATTTCAGAACACGCTAGCTTCCCTCCAGCAATGCGAGGCTGCATCTGCAAGGGTGACTGGTTACCCAGTTTGAGTGCCTGGGACCCTCTGCCACCCAGACTGAATGTCAGAGGACTTCCTCCTCTGGACGTCCTTCCCAGTGGGCCTGTTCAGAGGTGGGCCTCCTCACTTCGATGGGCCACAGGAGAGGATGGCAGGAGGATGATGGACATGTCCCCTCTGCCTCCTGCGCTCCACTACAGTGCCGCTCCCACCCCTGGCCTGCCACCGGTTTCTGAACATGGGGCTGGGGAGAGGTCCTTAAAAGTTTCCCCCACAAAAATCCCTGAGAGCAGCATCAAACTGTCATTAGCCGATACCGCAGGACGAAACCTACTGAAAGGCTAGAAGGAACACATGGGTGAGGGAGACATGATGAGGTGCAGTTTGTTTAAATGGCATCCCTCAGACAGAGCCTTCCGTCCTGCAACCCGCGCCTTAGCCCGCAGTGCTCTTCCTCTTTATCCCATGGCACTCACTGCCTCTTGTCACACAGCTGCACAGTCACCCGCTTAGGCCAACTGCCTCTGTTCCACCAAATGCAAACTCAAGGGCAGAGGCTTTGTCTCTTCCGGTCACAGACACATTCTTAGCACAGTGAACATTTCCTGGCACCTGGTAAGTACTAACAAATACATACTGAATGAATGAGTTTAATATAGATATGAATGCATTCTGGTTTGTGAAATATTATAAAATGAAGTCTCAAAAAATAAGCAAAGGTAAGGCCTGAGATGGCCTTAAAGAGGCCCAGCCTTCCTTTGCTGATGAAGCTGAGAATCTTCCCATATGTTTCTTAGACATCTGATTCCTTCCGCGTGTGTGTGTGTGTGTGTGTGTGTGTGTGAGAAAGGCCTCCTTATACCTCCTCTTCTTCATCCCCCCTCGGATTCTTCTCCTTCTTTCGGATTTCTAGGAGCCCTTTGTACAGTCTGGACGCCTTTCCTGTACTGATTACGTGTGTAGCTCCCGGTCTGGGACTTCTCTTTTTTCTTTACAGTGTATTAATTTTTTAAAATGTTTTAACATATTGATTGATAGAGAAAGAGGCGTATGGGGGGTGAGGAGAGAGACGTCACTTCACTGCTCCACCCACTTACGCACTCACTGGTGATTCTTGCATGAGCCCTGACTGGGACGGAGCCCGCAACCGGGCTGGCACTCTACCCGACTGAACTACTGGGCCAGGGCCTCGGTGGTGTATTATTTTTAATATGGTTTAATTTATTAATTTTTTTCTTTGAGTTGAGTGCTACCTGTATCTTATTTAAGGAGTATATTTCTACCCAGAGGTAGAAAATTCTACCCAGAGGTAGAAATATACCCTCTAGTCTTTTTCCTAAAAGTTTTAAAGTTTTGGCTTTCACATTTAATTCTTTAATCCATTAGGAATTGACTTTGGCGAATGAAGCAATTAGGGATGCACATTTTTCCTCATTAATCCCTGAGTATCTCTCATCACTTACTGACCAAGCCCCTCCTCCCCGCAGGGCACCTGTCGGACTCCAGAGCTCCACATGTTGGCACGTCTGGGTTCTCTTTTCTGTTCCACTGGCCAGTTGTTTTTATCTTTGCATCCACACATTTTGTTGTAAGTATTAGAGCTTTATAATAAGTCTTGATATTTGGTAGGGCAACTCCCTCTTCCTTATTCTCCTTCAGAGGTTTAGCTATTCTGAACACTACATTTCATCTAAATCTTAGAATTATCTTGTAAAGTACCTGCCAAAATTCTGTTGGAATTAAGGTAGGAATTGCGTGACTCTGACAATCAGTTTAGAAAATATCAGTATCTTTACAAGTATGAACTGAGTTTTTCTGTCCTTGAAACCAGTTAATTCCTGGTTTTTCAGTCTTCTTTAGTACCTTTCAATAAAGTTATAATTTTCTCCAGATAGTTCTTTTACTTTTGAACAGTGTCTGGGTTGCGTCTTATAATCATTGGTGTCTTGCTACTATAACTGACAGTCCTTGGTCTGTGAGCCATTGCAGCCACTGCCTCCAGCATCTGGGAGATGATGGGAGCTTCGGTCCTGGATGGGGAACTGGGGACTCGCTGGCATGCACCAGCCCCCCTTCCAGTCATTTCTATCCTCCTCTCTCAGACACGGTTTCAGTTTTAGGATTTAATTTCTGAGACACTTGAACTTTAGGTATGTTTATATGTAAATTTAGCAGAATATTTAAAGTATGAGTCCATTTTTCAAACACCACTGAGTTTTATGTGTTAAAGTCTGTAGAACAACTTCATTTTAAGGAAGTAGAACTATTCCATCTGACTAAGTTATCATGTGACTTTTCCCGGAAACAGAGTTTTCTTTCTATATATATACCTCTCTCAGTTGCAGATACGCTGGCCTTCTTTCAGTTCTTCCAGATGTCTCTCTACTCTAGTTTTTTTTTTATATATTTTATTGATTATGCAATTACAGTTGTCCCATTCCCCCCTTCATTCCCCTCCACCCTGAACACCTTCTCCCCCACCATTTCCCCCCTTTAGTTTATGTTCATGTGTCACAAGTTCTTTAGATTCTATATTTCCCATACTATTCTTGCCCTCCCCTTGTCTATTTTCAAATAGATGATTTTTAAAAATTTTTTTAAAGATTTTATTTATTTATTTATCTTTAGAGGGGAAGGAGAGAGGGAGAGAAACATCAATGTATGGTTGCCTTTCGTGCATCCCCTGCTGGGAACTGGCCTGCAGGGAACCGGTCTGCAACCCAGGAATATGCCCTGACTGGGAATCGAACCTGTGATCTTCTGGTTCGCAGGCCTGTGCTCAATCCACTGAGCTACACCAGCCAGGGCTCCCTTGTCTATTTTCTGAATACTGTCTATGCTACTTATTCTCTGTACCTTCTCTCCCACTCTTCTCCTCCCACTCTCCTGATGCTAACAGTCACCTACAAAGGAGTGCCCATCAGACTATCAGCTGATTTCTCAAAAGAGACCTGACAGGCAAGAAGGGGCTGGAAAGAAGTATTCCAAGTCATGAAATCCAAAGACCTACATCCAAGATTGCTGTATCCAATAAAGCTTTCATTTAGAATGGAAGAGCAGATAAAGTGCTTCTCAGATAAGGTCAAGTTCAAGGAGTTCATCATCACCAAGCCCTTATTATATGAAATGTAAAAGGGACTTATCTAAAAAAAAGAAGATAAAAAATAGGAACAGTGAAAGGACAGCAAACTCACAATTATTAACAACCACACCTAAAAAAAGCAAACTAAATGGACAGCTAGATCAGGAGCGGAATCTAGTTTGTTTTTGACACATACTGTTCTGTGCCCGGTAAGTTTTTCTCCCTGGAGCCCCACCCTTGCTCCCCATACACCCCACTCACTCCTGCTCATCCTTCGGTCTCAGCAGAAACCCCACCTTCACAGAGAGGCCTTCACTGACAGCTCTAAATAGCTCTCCCAACAGCATCTTGAACTTTCCTCTTCTTTCCTATCACACTTGCAATTGCTGCTCCATCAGTTCCTTGCCCTGGGCTGCCCACGGAAGTGCAGAGGTATTTGTTGATGTGCATGCAGTCTCACCCTGCAATACCTGGGGTCCAGACTGAGACTCCGTCTCTGTGCCCTGCCTTCAGCCCCCAGCAGAGTATGTGCACTCGTGAACACTTGCTGAATGTTTGGGAATGACTTGTGGTTTCACATGCTGGTGAGATATATATGTGTGTGTATACACACATGTATGTATATAGAGTCGGCGCAAATAATGCCCCCTTTTTATTACAAAATAATAAGCCTGTAATTCTGTAACCTAACAATATTACACTCAAGCACATCATATGACCTTTTAGGTGAAATGTTCAAATTAAAACAATAAATTATCACACCCATATTATTATACTACCAACCACACTCCAGCAGGGCTTACTTCTGCGGGACCCTGATATATCTCCTACAGTCTACACGTCCAGACTGCTCACTAACACCCAGGAACTGGAAGCTCCCAGGGCACATATGGTCCCATGAGATGCTCTCTTTGGGGTGTATGGCACCCAGCCCTGCAAAATGTATCCATCTAGTGTGACTGGCCTTCTAGTGAGGGCTGGAGTGGACTTCTGGCTTGCTTTAAAAACACCTCTGAGGTCTTCCCTACACAATATTCCAAATAATAGATGTAACACTCCCTCCTCCGAGCGGCGATGCTCCTTTCTCCACCTCCCCTGAGTGTGGGCTTGCTTTCCAAGAGTCAAGTATGGAACAGAGGGCAGGGTGGGGGCTTATTTATAGCAGAGAAATGCCATCACTTGGTCAAGTGTCCAGGTGTTAACCTAATAATCATGTTGACAACTTGCACCCTTGACATACCGTGATGAGAAGGGTGCCTGGCCCCTGTGGTCTTCTTCCCCAAACGCATAACCTTAGTCTAACTACGAGAAAATCATCAGACAAATGCAAATATGGGACATTCTACAAGATAACTAGTACTCCTCAAAACTGCCAAGGTCATCTAAACAAGGGAAGCCAGAGACTGTCACAGGGCAAAGGAGACTATGGGACAAGGAAACGCAGCATGCTTTTCTGGAGGGGACCCTGAAACAGAAAAGGACGCTGGGAGAAAAGTGGTGAAATCTGAATAAAAAGTGACATTTAGTTAACAAGGGTAATGTGCCAGTGCTGGTTTCTTAGAGCAGCAAATGAGCCATGGTGATTTAAATAAGATGCTGACATCAGGGGAAACCAGGTGAGGCATGTTGGGGAATTCTGCACTATCTCTGTAGCTTTCCCATAAAGATAAACCTGTTCTATTTTTTCAGAAATCTGGAAAAAGCGTAACACCAGTTTCATGCCAGGGGAAAGCCACCGGGCCCACTCAGCAGTCTGATGGGCCTATTTTATTGGGTGGAGATGCTGGGTGGTAGGGACTGTGGGGGGGGCAGGTTAGTATGTTGGAAAGGAAGGAACTGTAAGGTCAGGGGCTCAGCTACAAAAATATGTCCTAAATGGGATGAAAACATCAGTGGGGAGCCTGTGTCTTATGGAAATAAATAGTAAATATTAAAATAAAGTGTGTCAGGTGCTACCTGATTCTAAGTACCTTTCTCTGCCTTTGACACAGTGCATGGCCGAAAGATTCCAGAAGGACGTTCGATAGCTCACACTCTTCTTCTCTAGCTTAGGTCAAGTGTGGGCAGCATCTTTTAACAAACAGCTTTATTCAGGAGCCAGTAACGCCTGGGGCCCCAGGGGAGCAGGGGGTGGAGGGACCAGGCTAAGCCTCTGAGAGTCCCTCTCCTCACCCGCCCCCACCTCGTCTGGGCAAAGCCCGCAGTGGGGACTCTGACACCCGCAGCCCCTGGCGCCAGGCGGAGAAGCGGGCCTGGTGGGCAGCGCTGTGAAACCAGACTGAGAAGCAAGCCTCCCGGGCAGGTGCGGGCTTCCCACTGTTAGCAGGTCCAGGAGAGAGTCTACTCTCTAGGGAAAGTGAGAAAGAAAACTGATTAGCATATGTAGGGAAAGAAAGAGGATCACAGAACCAGCTTCACACTGTGGAGCCAAAATTAGCAGGTCTGGTGGCAGGGGACAGGGCCCTGGGGGGTAAAACCTGTTCCTAGACAACCAGCTCAATGCCAGAGGATGCTTTGTGAGGCCAACAAAGGCTGGGAGACAGAAAACAGCATCAAGAGGTGGGGGTGGGCAAAAAGTAAAAGGATGGAATAGGAAAATCTGATTGGAAAGACCAGAGCTTTAAAAAGTGACTTTAGCAATTGGCGTGGAGTTAGAGCAGCATTTCCTAAGCAGAGCCCTTGCAATGACTGGGCTGCTCCTGCAGCCCTCCGCCCTCTGGGATCCTGACCAGTGGCTCCCCACTACCATGCCCTGTACCCCCAGGGAGCCTCCACTGTCCTTCAACCACATCACCTGCTCCAAAACCTCAAACCCCAGAAAATGCCTGTGAGGCCCTAATAGGTCTCCCTTCCCCTTGTCTGACTTCTCCCTGGGCAGCAACTCCAGAATCCCCTCCTACCCACTGGGCCCTGCCAGCTGGGGCCTCTCCCCTCCCTGAGCTGCAGTGGCAGTCATTTCTAGATAAATATCAGCTTCACACAGAGAATAGCTAAAGAAGGAGAAATGTTTGTCCTGCATCCAAGCCCTCTGCTAGTGGGGATGGGATCTGAGATCCCTGCAAAGCAGCAACACAAAAGTCAACACTGAGACCAATGTGGCATTTTACCACGTCTTTTATGGGGAAGGGATCTGGGGATCCTCCCTACGCTCCAGGTGTCAGGCTGCTTTTTATGTCTCTGATGAACAGGCAGAGCACAGAGGATTTTTAGGGCAGTGAAAACCTACCCTGCATGATAGTATAATGGTGGCTACATGGCATTACACATTTGTCTGAGCCCATAGATTACACTGCACCAAGAGTGAACCCTAAGGCGAACTGTGGACTTTGGGTGATTATGATGCATCCACGTGGGTTCGCCACTGTTTAAAAAATGTGCCATGCTCACAAGTGATGCTGATAACAGGGGAGGCAATGCCTGCGTGGAAGGAGGGGGTATATGGAAAATCTCTGTACCTTCCTCTCAATTTTGTTGTGAAAAGAGTAAGTCTCCAAGAAATAAACACCCTGAAAACTGAAAATTTCTGACCCCTCCCCCACAGCAGTGCGACCCCCTCCCATGGCTGTTACAGGCGGTACAACACACCTGGCGGGGACAGCGCAGGGACCAGAAATGGGAGGTTGTTGGCCTGCAGGCAGAGCAGAACTTGGAGGGGGACCCTCCCCCAGAACTGCACAGGGGCAGCAGCCTCACGGTGGGGGGTGAGGATTAATAACTCCTGGCCTCCTTGCAGGGAGCTTTGACCCGGTCAGATGGAGGGCGCAGTGTAACACGGGCCCACACACCTCTGCCTGGGCCTCTAGCACAGCGGCGCGGTGCATGCGCGTTCATGCGCGTGCGTGCGCGCGCACCACCTATGCATTCACTCCTTTCCAAATCCGCTCGTTAGCTCATAGCCCTCGGCCCTCGGGTGCCAGTGTAGTTACTACTCAAACAACTTTTTCTCCCTCAAGCATTAGGCCACATAAGCAGTAGTAAAGTTAATTTAAAAAGCAGAACCTAAAAACCAATGGCTTTTCTCATGACAGTCGGGCCCTCTGTTATTTGTACAGGGAGAAGTGGAGTCGGGTGTTTATTGGAGGAGAAAATTCAAGGCTACTGAGGGGAACAGTCTGGTGGTCTCTGTCATCTGGCAGTCAGGATGAAACAAATGACAATAATACACAGTTGTCATCACTTCGGATCTTCAAGGGGACCTCAAAGTGTTTTACAGGCTTTGCCTGTCTGATATCTACGACTTGGGCGGCATGTACGACGGGGGTGATGTAAACCATTTCTGAGGCAGGGAAGCTTGAAGCCCAGAAAGGCGAGATGTTCTCTATACTCTAAGGCTACTGGTTTCAAGGTAGCCTTTGAAAATGCCTCAGGGGGTCCCAGAAAGTACTGTAGGGTTAACCATGAGCATGCACTGTAAGAATTATTGTTTTATTCATTTGACTCTAATCTAAAAACATACACATTTTGCAACCCGTGGCTGACCACCTGACAGCTGAGCGCTGGCATGGTTTCAAGGCCCACACCTGGGTTTGTATTCACCTTCACGTCCTTTGCAAGAACCTGCATTTACCTTTTATGTAGTGTTGCTCAAACTAGGCTGCATGGATGTATGTTCAGGGTGCGCTGGGTGCCCTGGTTTGGGAAACACTGCTCTAGGACACGCGGCATTCCTGCAGGATCTGCCACGTGGTGTGGCTGAACGTTAGGCGGAGGGAAATGGTAGGACTGCGACAGCGCAGCCACAGAGGCCCAAGGCGGTGGCGGTTTGGCCAGGCTGACCTCTGAGAGGTCAGATGGTGTGGGTGCGGGTGGGTGTTCCTGGGCAGTGGTGATGCCTGTAAACAGGTGGTGGCTGCCTCACACTTTTACATGGGCCACACAGGGACCGGCCGTCATGGGCAGAGGCTGGGACATCCAGGCAGGGCAGGATCCCAGCAAAACAGGCAGAACTGGCTGTAGCTCCAGCAGAACTCGAGGCAAATCAGAAAACCAAGGCAGGGATTCAGAGTGCTGCCCCCAACCTGGAGGGTGCCCAACCTGCAGGGCCTTCAGAACACACACAGGAAACCACCCTGTATTATACAGCAAGCTCGAGATGGTTCCCATGCAGATGATGGGTCCATAGACTCCACTCTGAGGAAGGTCTGTAGGATAAAATCCAAAGTCCTAACATGGCATTCAAGAATCCCCCAATCTGCCTGGGCTGGTGTGGCTCAGTGGGTTGAGTGTCGGCCTGTGAACTGAAAGGTCACTGGTTCGATTCCTAGTCAGGGCACATGCCTGGGTTGTGGGCCAGGTCCCCAGTTGGGGGCATAAAGGAGGCAACCAGTCGATGTTTCTCTCCCTCTCTTTCTCCTCCCTTCCCTCTCTCTAAATATAAATAAATAATAAAAAAATCTTTAAAAAGAATCGACCCGCCCAGTCAATCCCTAGCACCCCAGTTCCAGGTTTAGGAGCACAGGGGTTTCTGGGGGAAACACTTCCCACTGGCTGACTCCTACTCAGCCCTCAGTTGTTATCAAATGCCTGGGACGTGCCCTCTGACCTCCGGAGTGGATGAACCTCTCTCCCAAACACCCACAGAACCCTGCACTTCCTGTGGCCCTTCTTCCCCTGGTGACTGGCCAGCCCTTCAAGGTCTGTTTTCATCACAGGACAGTAAGTTCCCCGAGGGCAGGGGCTGTGCCTGTTCACTGCAGCTTCCTCAGCACCAGCTTGGTGCTGGGTACATAGCAGGGCTCGGTAAATATTTCTTGATGGAATTCAAAATTGTTAATTCCATGTCCTTCTGGTCTGAGCCTTCAGTGCATGCTCTGACTTGGTCAGAAGTGTCTGGACCCGGCCATGCTCGGCCGTGGACTGTGAGGCCGCAGTGTCCGGTGCTGAAAGCTGAGAAGCAGCCTTCCACAGAAACATTCATGTGCTGAACTCCGTGCCCGAGCCTGAACTGCAGGACAATTTTGGTGTCACCCCACGTGACGCTCCCCAGTCCGACCGTCCAGATAGGAGCCTGTACTTCCACTCAGGGGTGTACCACTCACGGTCCTGGGCTCTGCCAGGTGACAGGGGGCCAAGTTGGGGTTTTCATTAGCATCAGGCACTTGTGCTTTTGGAGACCACATTCCATATTGAAAATCACTCAAATGTTCTCTCACCCCAAGTGAAATACAACATTTAACACGTTAGGGGTAAAATCAGATGCAGTTGGCTAACTGGAGTCATGTTGCATTTTGTAGACAATTAAACATCTATCAATTTTGATTTTACAGTTTTCTCTTTCTTATTTTGAAAAGTTTGTGCAGATTTTCAAGTCTGACATGTGTTACAGGCCCATGACAAGCTTATTTATCCATTTCTAGAACAAAGTGGACCTGCGTCCAGGTGGCTACTTGCTGCCGTCTGAACCAGCAAGCGCGCCCCTAGCATCTGCCGGCAGGAGCCAGCCTTCTTCCGGAGGGTCAGGCACATCTATTTGAAGTGCGGCATTTGGCAACCTTCCTACGGATTCTGTAGGCAGAACAGAAGAAGAACATTCCTGCCACCAGAATGAAGGGCCGGCGTCTATGAGTAGGTGGTAAGCACGAGTTTCTAAATGAGGCATTTGGAATGCAAAGCAGTTCAACCAGGCTAGTCAGTGCACACTGACCACAGAGTGAGACTTGGAGGGTCTGGGAGAGAGAAAACCGAACATGTGGTAGGGAGAGGTGGGAAGAAAGAAGAGCTAATTGTATGGCACAATAATTCAATTAAATTAAGAAAAAGCTCCCAGACTTTGATTTAAAATAATAGATGGAACATCCAATTTTATGGAACGAGGAGTGGTGATGAGGAGTTTTGTTATGAAGTATGCCAGGCACTATACTGAGTCCTACAGAAAGGCAGGGGCCCACGGGTGCTCTGCGTATCAGAGAGAATATATGTAAATACTCAGTACAAGATAGTACCACTAAAAAATGCAAAGCAACAATTGTGGAGCAATAAATGAGAAGACAGTAATTAGTGGGACTGAAGGAAAGATTCCACAGAGTCTATGACATCTTAACCGGATCTTGAAGGATGGAAGGAATTTTTTCTAGGAAAGAACAAAGCCCCAGAAAGAAGAGGCAAAATGAGCCAAGCTCTACAGATAAAAAACAATAATGGCAAACTTTCATCAAGTGCTTTTTAAGTGCTAGGTTCTGTTCCAAGTGCTTGACAGTTAGTAATTCTCCTTACCACACGCTTGTGGTGAGAATGTTATTCCTCCTTATTTATGACAGAGAAACACAAGGCAGTCAGGGTCCAGAGTCCCAGCCCTCCACCTCCTCACCGTGGCCCAGGCAGGTACCGGGCTGAGGGGTGTGGACTAGAAGAGTCCACCTGACTGGATGCAGGCCTCTTGGCCAAGGCTGCAGAACTGGGTGACGAGACTGAAAATAGAAATTGGACCAGAAATTGGAAAATTCTTCAGTGCCATGTCAGGACTTTGGGTATTATCCTCAGACCTTTCTGTGAATGGGGTCTACGGACCCTCCAAATGACAGCCATCTTGAACTGGCAAAAATACAGACCCTGAGCCTGGCTCCAGACCAGCTGAGCAGGAGCTGTGGTCATCTGAATCTGGAAAGCTCTCCAGCTGGCTCTTCTGCACACTCAAGTTTGAGAACCACAGCTGTAGGCCACATAGATGTGTGGCCATTGTAAAGTTGGGGAGTAAGTGGTCAGATTTGCTCTCCTGGAAGCAAAGTTTTGACTAATGCATGAGTTGGAGGGGAGAGCCTTGAAGCAGAGGATCGACCAGGAGCCTCTGTCCCCTCCAGGAATGATGACAGCCTGGACTAGAGGAACAGCGACACTGAGAGGGGTTTCAGAGGCAGAATGGCAGAGACGTGGTTTGAGGATAAGCCTGGAGAGAGAGGGACGTGTGCACAATGAACTAATTCAAAAGTTCCTGCTTGGATGGCTGACAATGAAGCCGGGCAATAGCAGAGCACAGGACTGGATTTAAAAGACTTGGGTTCAGATTCAAGCTCCGGCACCTGCCAGCAGTAAGACAGCGGCAGCTCAGTTTTATCACCTGCAAAACTGGGACAGTTTTACCCAATCATAGCATTGTTGTGAGGACTAAATGACACGCTGCAAAGAAATATGCATATTCCTGACACTTGATACTTTCCTACTCATCTCCAAAAAGGAAGATTGAGTGACAAGCCAAGGCACATCATAATTACATTAGCCAAGATTGAAATGAAGGAGAGAATCGTAGAAGCAGCAAGAGAAAAGGGGACAGTCACCTACAAAGGACTTCCCATCAGACTGTCAGCTGATTTCTCAAAAGAGACCTTACAGGCAAGAAGGGGCTGGAAAGAAGTATTCCAAGTCATGAAATGCAAGGACCTACATCCAAGATTGCTCTATCCACAAAGTTTTCATTTAAAATGGAAGGGCAGATAAAGTGCTTCTCAGATAAGGTCAAGTTCAAGGAGTTCATCATCACCAAGCCCTTATTATATGAAATATTAAAGGGACTTATCTAAGAAAAAGAAGATAAAAAACATGAACAGTGAAAGGACAGCAAACTCACAGTTATTAACAACCATACCTAAAACAAAAGCAAACTAAGAGGACAGCTAGATCAGGAGTGGAAACATAGAAATGAAGATCACATGGAGGGTTAGCAACAGGGGAGTGGGAGGAAGAGAGGTGGGAGAAGGTACAGAGAGTAAGTAGCATAGATGGTAGGTAGAAAATAGACAGGGGGAGGGCAAGAGTAGTGTGGGTAATGTAGAAGCTGAAGAACTTAGGACACATGGACATGAACTAAAGGGGGGCAATGTGGGTGGGAGGGGGTGTACAGGGTGGAGGGGAATGAAAGGGGGAAATGGGACAACTGTAATGGCATAATCAATAAAATATGTTTTTTTAAAAAGAAAGTGACATTAAATTGAGGAGAAGAACTTGTCTAACAAGCATCCCCAAGCCATTGTCACAGGAGGATTTCACCCCAGGCCCACCCTGCAGGTTGACCATGGACTTGTGCAGCTCTTCCTAGCTTAGCTCTTGCTGCTGATCTCAGAGCCAAGGGTGGGTTGAGCAGGGAAAGAATGTGCTGACTGAGGTTGAGCAGAGCTGGCTGCAGGTCAGTGGTAAGTCGCCGCCTGGCACCAGCGTTTTCCAAGGTGGGTAACGGCTTCTCCAACAGAACATCTGCAAATTCCATTACCAGAGGGCTGGGCAGGGAGGGTGGACCAGCAGCCAAGCCCCTGGTGGGAAGGCATCTGGTCTGGGAGCACCGACAGCTGTGGAAAAGGCATCCTGTGTCAGATCGGGGCCCAAGGTAAGGATGAGGGTTGCCAGACAAAACACAGGATACCCACATTCTTAGTGTGTGGAAGAAGAGAAGAGCTTCTGAAACCCTAGCCTTGGAAACCCTAAACCCGTGACATGGTAGCTCAAAATCATAAGTAGAAAGGCACTTTCATGTGGGGAGGACAGTCAAGTAGCATCAAGCAGGTACATTGTCCCCCGTAAGGCTGCTCATTGTGACACGAAATACTGACAGGTGCGGCATGTCAGGCCTGGGAAAGTCAGCACGTCCACAGAGATGCTCTTTCCCACAGCCACAGGCAAAAACAGAACAGTCCCAAGGGGCGGACTGCTGGGAGGGAGCCTCCCAGCCTCAGCCCCGAGCTGGGCCATTTTCATCCCACAGAGCACAGCCTCTAAACCCTCAGCCAGAATCCCCCCTCCTCCCCCACAGTGTGTCAGGGTTGACGCTGGCCCTCACCCAGCAGACTTGGTCAGTGGACCCAGGGCGGGACTTCAGTGAGGTCCGGGGGACTGCAAGCCGGAAGGGGTTGCCCCCTCTGCTGACTTAGCTCTCTCTTCCTTTTGTCTTCCTGCGCAGTCCTCCCCCATCCCCACCCTATCCCATGTCTCTTGCCAGCCCCCAAACCCTGATGACTCTGGATTCCCACAGGACCAGTTGCTCTGCAGAGCAGAGCAGAGGTCGAGAGAGGGTGGCCTTTCCCATCCTTTCTGTTCCAGTTCAGCGGCCTGGTCTGATACCTCTGCTATCTTAGGTGATAGGCATGAGGGACCAGCGTCCAAGCTGAGAAGCTGAATGGGAAATTCAGTGGAGCAGACTTTTTGTTTATTTCTAATGGGAAGTTAGGAATTACCCGAGAGTGCAGACTGTGTTTTCAGCTGACAGCCTTGTGTTCAGCCTCCGATAAAAGCACTCCCGCTGACTTCCATATCCTCTGCCACCAGCCTCTTTGATAACAGCTGCAGATGACCCCGGCCAGAGCTTGGCTTTCTGCCCGCTTGTCTCTGCTTTTGCGTCCTGGCTTGGCTGACATTAAGTGACCAGCACCCAAGTCTGCCAGATGGCTTCAGAAAATATGCTCACCAGAGTCAGATGTAATTCTAGATGCTGGTATTGAAGGAAGTTCTGCGTCTGTCAGTCAGTGCTGAGAGATGGGCCCCACGTCTCCCCAACATCCCAATGACAACGATGGCAGCAGGGCCGAGACTGCGGCAGCAGCTTGCAACGTGGGAAGGACATGACGAATAGTAACACTGATATTATTATGAAAGCCTGATACCTCTGCAGAGACCTTCCAGTGTGGTTTTAGAATCATGGGCTCAGATCAGATTGCCCGGATTTGAGGCCTCACTCTGACACTTGTCACCTCTGTGAAGTCAATTAACCTCTCTGTGCCTCGGTTTCCTCATCAGTTATGGGATAATGGAAGTGTCTTCTTCATGAGGTTGTTGTGAGGGCTGAATCTGTTTTTGTTTTTGTTTTTTAATTTATTTATCTTGAGAGGGGAAGGGAAGGAGAGAGGGAGCAAAATATCAATGTATGGTTGCCTCTGGTGCGTCCCCCACTGGGAACTGGCCTGCAACCCAGGCATGTGCCCTGACTGGGAATATAATGGCAGTTTGGTCCACAGTCCCGAGCTCGATCCACTGAGCCACACCAGCCAGGGCTGAATCTGTAATACTCATAAACACTCGGAACAACGTCTGGCACGTAGTAAGTGCCTGATAATCATCAACTGTTATTATTATTTTTAATCTTCCCAGTGACACTGCAAGGGAATGCATATTGACAAATTGAACACTAGATTCAAAGACTTTTAAGCATTTGTCCAAGTAACACGTGGTAAATGACGGAGCCCTGACTTCTGTGGGCCGACCTCCACACCACGATGCCTCCGTGCAGAGAGGAGGACGGAGGGCTGCCAGGGCCCGGCACTGGCGCTCCTTGCCCCGAAGATGCCCTTTTGAGTTTACCAAGGACGTTGGAGAAAGGGAGGAGGGTGGTGCAGGGTGTCAGAGTGAAGACATCTCTTTGGGAGAACAGATAGCCAACGAGAAGTTTGTAGGATCACAAGGAATTAAGTAAGGTGAGGGTCATTAGACCTCCTCTATTGATACTTTCTGTTGTGATATAATGAGCTCCTTAGAGTGAAATTTTAGCAAGCAGAGTTGCTCCATGTAACTATCAAATCTTGATCTTTCACAGTCTTAGGGAAAAGATGGAAGATTATAGTTTAGGTTTAAAGCAAAAGGTACTCTTGATTGCTGTAGTTGACAAGGTGCTAATAGTTTCCAATAATTCTCCCAAACCCCTGATCCCTGGTAGGGACCCCGGTAAGCTTCTCTCCACCTGTCAGCCTCTATCTTCTCTAACCGGTGTGAGCGCCCGGGGCCTGCTGAGTGGCATTTCCACCTGTAGAAGCAGTTGTCCCCATTTCCACTCTCCGTCCCTGCTGTCTGCTTTCAGTGAAAGAAAGTCTTCCCCAAACTGAATGAGACTGAGAATTAAAATCCCTGGTACTAAAAATCCCTCGTGTTTTAAAACACTGACAAAACACCCTAGGATTCTGCTGAAGTACATTATTTTACAAACTGAAACAGGGGGCTTTTTTAAAACCTACTATTTAGAAAACAAACAAACAGCAAAACCCATCTACAACTATTTCAGAAATGCTACCACAGAGAAAAGGAATTCTCTTGCCAAAATGCCACCATATAAAGGACACAATGAAAGAAAAGGGCACTTACTGAAACACCGCTGACATCGTATCGAGTAGAAATGAAAGAAAATGAACATTCTGCTTAACTCCATACATCTTTCTTCAAATCACCCCCTACTTTTTAAAAAATGCCACATATGATATTGAACCATATTTATTAAATAGTAGAATATCAACTTCCTTACACAAGGATAATAAAAATTATTTGATCAGTTTTTCGTATCAGAAAAAAATTGGGGTGCTAAATTGAAAACAGTCCAGAGATTATGGTTGGGTAACAGAAGACCTGCGTTCTTAACACAGGTGCTCATTTCATTATTTATAGGTGACAAATGAATCTAAAACATTGGCTTAAAACAGCAGCCGTCACTTATTCTCTCTCGGTTTCCGTGAGTCAGGAATTTGGTGCTGGTTTAGAGTTTCTCGTAACACTGCAGCCGATGCCCACCAGCGCTGCTGGACCTGAAGGCTTCCCGGGGCTGCGGGACCAGCTCCCAGGCGGGCTCACTCACTTGGCTGGCCTGAGCTGGTGTTGGCAGTTGGTAGGAAATCTCCATAAGTTGCTTAAGTGTCCTCGAGCCATGGGTGCCTGTCCCCAGAGTGATTCAAGAGGCCCCCACCATGCCCTCCGTAAGACTCTCCTGTTCACACATGCAGCCATGATTCAAGGTGGGAGGAGACTACACAAGGGTATGAATATCGCCTTGCACAAGGAGGCAAGAACCATGGGGGGCCAGCTTGGAGTCTGGCCCCCGCAGGTGGCTCTCACACTGACCAGGTCCAAGAAGCCTCTGTGATCTTCCAGCTACTGCCAAGCACCCCCTTCGTATTTTCCCACAACATCCAACTCCATTCATCACCCACTAAAGGTTTCTGATTTTAGTTATCAATGCATAGAAATGTGGAGCTGAGTAGCACTGTACCGATCACCTATTTCAATTTCAAACGTGATCATTTATTAAAATATGTTTATGTGTTTTTTGCCAGACTGTGAGCTCCCTGAGGACCGGGACCATAACTTATTTCAATGTATTCTCAGTTCCCAGCGTAAAACGTACAGTGCGTAGGTGCCCCATGAATGCTGACTAAAGTGTTTTCCTTGCCTGGGTGAATCATATTCATTCTCTAGACCTCATTTTTCTTGTTTGTTTTAGGCTAAATGATTTTTAAGCCACTTTCCACTGTATCATGTGAGGAGCTTTTTTTTTCTTGAGTGGAATGTGGTCACATGGTCTGATAGCCCCTCACCACTTCCTGGGAGCCTGTCCTTTCGGTTTGGGCTAGTCCTCTGGCCCTCGCACTATGGAGCAGAGAACCTCGAAAGACAGTGGTGAAATGGATTGTCATCCGAGGGTTCAGTTTTGAGTCAAGACTAGTTCAAGGACATTTCCCAGCTGTACTGTGGGAAGGGGAAAGAGGGATGAGAATTCCAGACAAAAAGATTCCCTCACTCTGTGAAGTCATGTGATCGTTACTCCCCTGCTTGAAAACCCCTTTGCTTCCCTTCTGACAACAGACCGAAACTCCCATTCCTCAGTCTGCATCCGGGGCTACAAACCACCTTCCCCATCACGGACCTCCTGCTCCAGAGCGCTGCGTGTTGGCTGCACCCTGTCCAGAGCTGTG